CTAACTTGCCCTGACAACAAGACCAATATGCGACAACGAGGTCAACCCACTTCTATTTTTCTTTTGTTAGTAAGCTTTCGAGTAAAACAGTAAATCCGATATATGAGCTGTGGTCATCCTATCTCGCTTAATGTGATGAAGGATCGGAAGTTGAATGTTCCCATACTGATATGAGTATATCTTACGTTTCCAATTAATTCCGCATAGCCTAGTTACTTAAAAGATGTTCTCATCCAGAATAGACTGCAGTTCCGACCACGCATAGGTCTCATCATCATTATCAAAACTATTTGCCCCACTGCCATCATTCATAACCCACTGGGTCTCTGATGAGTCCAGTTCCGACTAGGTCGAAACTGTAGTTCACTTCAGCCGAGGTTAGAATTCCTTTTGGAAAAGCGAGTATATGTGAAATACCATGGAAACGTAATCTTTACTCATATCAGTATGGGAAAACTCAACTACCAGTCCTTCATCACCCTAAACCAAATAGGGTTAACAGATCTCATGGACTTACTTGTAGTGTCTAAAACCTGCTTAAAAAACGAAAAATATGCAACTTTTTAAAATTTGCTTGAAAGATTTAAAGCTATCGAATAAATAAGTCTCAAGTTCACTGGCTCAATCGGTTTTGGAACAAAACGGATATACATTTTGTTTTATAACAATGATTTGAGCATAAGAGTTAAGCTCATATGGTGTTATGAGAAGAAATATTTCATATTATTGGTTTGACCTCATTTGCTTAACTTAATCGGAGTGATAGGGAGACCTTGTGTAGCGTAAATAGTCGTGCGTTCTCTGTAAGAGTATTCATGCTGATTTCCAACATCGAAATGTTGGCTTTTTTACATCCCCAGATGTTTCGCCGGTATCGTCAATGAGAGGCGCCAACGTTAGCACGAAGCTATAACTTATCAAAGTGAGATGCAGTGAAACGTCTGAAAATGTACCAAGTCAATGTTCTGATGCTAATAATTAGCATGAATATTATGGCAGAGGACGCAGGACTAGGTACGCTCGAAAGGGTCGACCTGCCACTCCGACAAAATTATGGAAACCATGTCAAATTAAGGCTACACATCTAATGAAGACTGCGACCAAGCGCAAGGCCACACCACTTTGGTCTTAATATCTACGATATAAATAAAGTGAGTTGAATAACCTGGGCATTTTCACTAAATTTTAACTAACTTTCTATCCCAAAACGTATTTATGCTCCAAGCTACCTTGCTTTTTCGGCTTCGCCCTAAGAACCTCAAGATCGCATTTATATCGCTGAT